TTCTTCTAGACAATAGAAACATTTTTTCCCTTTTGTCTTCATTTTATTTTTGTCCTTAAAGTTGCCATATTTTTAATGTCCAGGTTTCTTATTAAAATTACCATTCTTGGGATTAAACTTGGACTTCATGATCAGGTTAATGCAACTAACAAACTTTTTCTTATTAGATTTTAATTCTAACTCTTTAGACCCTAAAGCATTAATGATCACTTTAGTGGTTAGAGTGTCCCTCCCATATTCAATTGCATGTTTAACATCTTTATATTTATCACCAATTGAAATCAATAAGACCACAGCCATCTGTCCACTTGAGAGTTTCTCGTCACAGTTGGTAAGGTCCGGGATAGTTTGTTAAACCTATCTATATTGGTTTCAAGATCAAGAAAAGTGTGCAGTTTAAAATCAAAGAATTGTTTAAAAAGATATACCTTGTTAGGCATGATTTGATTCAAATAAGTGGTTTCCAATTTCTTCCAAAGTTCAGCAGTTGTCTTAGTCTCACCAATTTCCCTAATTACATTGTCAGACAAATGCACAAAAACATTGCTCCGTGCAGTTTCATCTTGTTCAGTCACTTTGCTTAATTCAAGATCAGTAGGCCATGACTCATTAATAGCCTTAGCACATTTTTGTTAAAATAAAAGAGCTTTCATTTTCTAGCTCCAGAGACTAAAGTCTCATTTGCCATTAAAAAATTCCATTTCAAATTTTGAAGTAGTCATTAAAAAAATTTGAATGTATGCAAATCAGTCAGACACTAGATAGCAACTTGTAATGCAAAGCAAGAACGGGTATAAGCACTCAAGGAATATACAGAGAACACAAATTGCAAGTTTATATAGAGAAAAAAACTTCAATTATATCACAATGTACACAATTTTATCAATAGAAATACGATCACAATAATGTATTAAGACAATGAAGTGTTTATAAAACTACAGTAGAAGATTTTCAGAGAACAAGAATTATCAAATACTTGACTGGATTCAAGCTAACCCTAAGATTCCAGACAACTCTCAGGGTTTCTAGATAAAGGAATTACCAAGAGGCCAATAATCAAGTTTTTACAAAAAGAAAATAAAATAAATTCGAGGCAGAGAATCTTAAACAAGTATTAAAACTTGAGTTATACAGTAAAACAGTTAAACAAGAAAGATCTCACAAGATCCCCTTGTTATGGTTTCAAGAAATACGAAGTGCGGCTCAAAAATAGTCACAGTGTCAAGATCGACCATATAGAGTATCAAGAACCTCCTTTAAACGCTCTGATACCACTGTTAAGAGGAGATCCACAAAGTATTAACTCAATAACAACAAAATATAAACTGTAAATCAAACAAAAATAATACTGAAGAGATAAAGAGATGTATTAATCAAAGCACTCAAGCCAGAATCCAAGTTGAGTGCCTCAATCACTGAAGAACAACCACCGTTCGAACACAAATCACAACCAAAGTGAAGATTACAAGGTTTGGACACTCAGACTAAACCCTTATATCACAAATAACTCTCTCTTCACTCAAACAACAGTTCGCACAAGAACAACAACTCAACTCAAAGGAAATCACACAAGATTGCAACTTTTGAGAGAGAAAAACGAAATCAAAAGAAAGAGAGAAAATATCAGAAACACAATGTACAATGCAAACCCTAGGAGCCCTTTTATAAGTCACCCAATGGTCTCCAATCCAACGGCGTAGGAGGTAACACATGGCGATATCCTGGGCGTTCCTTAATCAGGTAAGTTAAGATACGACTTTAGACATTTCTCCAAAACACGTTTTTGCACCAAGTTTATAAACCACAAACGCAGTCAACTGGGCAACTCAATTTAAATCCAGCCATGGGTTGTTGGCATCATTGTGCCAATTCCCTTCAGGAGAGTTCTGAAATTTTAAAAGACCCGCTACCATATTTTTCTGACGCAAGGTTTTCAATCATCTAAAGTAAAGATGTCCACATATAAAAGGTCAATGACTCTGACATCCCGAGTCAACTATATATTTCTATGTTCGAAAGTCATGTCTGTCGTGGAGTTCAAAAAACCTTGTGAACTCTTTGAGGAAGTATTCTACCTAATATCTTAAAATTATATTTGAATCTACCGTAATTTGTGAACTGAATCGCCGGATAACAAAATTTGAATTTACCATAAACATATGAACTAATAACGATGCCAAAAATGATCAGTCAACGACAGAGAAACATCAATTAAATATTCGAAGTTACAATGCTAACATAAAATTTCAGCGTGTACATTGTTTACACGAAAAATAACCAATGGACATTGTTAAGATCTCGAAACTGAAGCACAAATTACTTCCCCGACTCGGTTTTAATGTTCCACGCGATCAACTTTGCAGATTTTCAAAAACTTCGTTTCTCAACCCTTTTTTCAGTGATTGGTGGCACTGGAATGGTATCTTAGTATACTTTTACTGCATAAAATAGGAAAAGAATTAAGCTCCTTGTACACAAATTTTTACGAGTGATGAGGTGGAAACATTAGATTGGTTGAAGTTTTTTTTTTTTTTTTGTCCAACATTCAATGAAATTGTGAGAGCTGATCAAATTGTCCGATAACCCCTGCACTGTGGCAAGATTGATATGAAAAATTCACAACATCTTTAGTGTCTCACATTGTGTAAGACCAATTAGGTTAAATTATACTTTTGTGCAAATGACTTTTCGACACCCTTACTCATAAAAATTCGTATAGGAAAGCTAACTCCACAATGGGTATGCCACTATCTCTAAAATTCCAGACGAGTCCTATACAGTCTACAGAGGTGTTCGTCAATGTGCACTACCCCGATTTTGAAAACTCTAATTTATCACCAAACCCAAAACCCACCATATATTATCTATTGGCAGTCGATTAAGGGCCTTGTATACATAAGAAATGAGCCGACAATACAGGCTTTATGAATTAAGTAGAACATCAATACACATAATATTATTTCGTGTAAATAAAACATTTATGAATATGAAGGCCGTCACTACAGGATTTATGACAAAAATTATATCGTCAATACAAGTCTTGTGATCACGAAAACAAGAAACAGTCATGACTACGGTGACCGTCAACACAAGTCATGTATACCTGTCGGCTGGTTGTTAGTGTAAGCTATGAAATGATTGGTGCAAAATAATGAAGTTCGTAATGGGCATGACATAGATGTCGTGATGCATATGTGGACGTGAAGGTGACATGAAATCTGTAAATAATTAGGTCAATCGAATTAGGGCATCAACAATAGGAATGGGTGAGTGCAAGGATCGTGCTGTGAGGCACACACTTAGAGATGTAGCAGAAGAGCTTTCTCACATGTTTCCAGGACAAGATATGTACTTAGTCAGGACCATGAATGACACTGGAGTCAAAAATCTCAACGACCACAAGGCCGGGGGATTTTCTAGGCTACAAGTAAAATAAAAGTACACTCGAATATTTAAACACAAAGCCAGACCAATCATTCTTAAAGAAAAAGACTCAACTTTTATTAATGCAATGTATATATATATATTTTTTTTTTCTTTTTTTTTTTATGATACATTTGAAATTGAGAAAGTAACTCAAAAAGTAACGATGTGGAAGACCATGAAGAATGAATGTATCCATAAATGGAATGTTCAATCTCATGGTCCTCTCCCTCCCTTCTGCCTTTTATCTTCAAGCTCAGCCGCATCCTTCAACATGTCAGCAGCATCCTGGTGCATGTCAAGTTTTGCAAGGGCAACTGACTGCATGTGAAAAGCAGTAGGCCAATCTGGATACACAATTTGTGCTTGCATTGCATCACGAAGGGCAGCATTAGGTTGATCGCACATGAGATAGCAAAGACTACGTCGCGCATAGACAGTTGGGGAAACCATGGTTCCTACATCTATAAACTACATATAGACGGAGTAAAAGAAATAATGCTAAGGATATCTCATTTTTAAAATTTATTATCTAATAAGCCAGTTTATCAAATCTATCGTGAAATTTAACAATGCATGTACACTAGATAGTGTTCAATAAGCATGAAATAATACATATTGATGGAAGCTTTAGTTAACAGTACAAAAAAGTGTCCATATCTGAACATTAGATCAACAAATCTTCTCACCTAGCTAGGATTTTCAACTACTAAACTCACTAGTTTCTATGCTCAAATTTGAAGAATGAGGGGAAATAGTTATTTAGAAGTGATATATTTGATTGCATCCGTTTCCTCCTCAAAAGTGAGAGTATATATAGATTTCCCTCCAAGACTTTGGGGGTAATTTGGTCATTTTGGGAGGAATGACAGTTGGCGGTTTTTTATTGGCTAACTTAATACTGATTCTGTTATGATACCAAGTTTTATTTATTAACTTATATGTCCCGATAACAGTATTTAGCTAGCCTAGATGCGAGCCTTTTAACCTTTTGCCCCATTTACATATGGCTCTCTCTTTGCAGGGTTGGTAAGGTTCGGGAAATGTACTTCTTGATTCAACAAATAGTCTCCAAAGTCTGGTTTTATTATTTATATTAAATCTATGACTTTAATTGTAAAATGTTTTGGGACCGCAAATTTCTTTGATGATGCTGTCTAATTATTTTTGGCATTTAATGTTCAGGTTAAATGGAATGTTTTTTATTCTTTTAATGCAAATTCATGCGTGATTCGGAAATGTTCTTTTTTCTCCATTCCACACATGTCATGTTTGCTTACGATCGTTTGTTTTAGTCTTTTTGTATTTAACGTCTAAGATTGTGTGACGCTTTAGGGAATGAGTCTGTTGGGATTCAATGGCTTTCTTTGACACTATATTTATGCGCTATGTTATCACTTACTTTCATTTTCCTAATTGCAGAAGATGTATTTTGATATTTCGCTCATTCTTGATTTTGGGGAAGCCTCTTATCTCTCCTGGAATCCTTTTAAGCATCGCTACTGGTTCTTCACCTTCGTTTTTTATTCCACTATATTTTCCTGATGAATCACTTCTAGGCCTTATGTCAATACCTTATGTAACCAGAGAAGATCTTAAAATTGCCTTAATCTGTCCCTTGCCATGTTATGATCGCATATCTACATCCGATATTGACATATATTATTCAAAACCTAGCAGAGAATGGTTCGGAAGCTATGTGTTCCTATTTTATTGATAATATTTTTTAAAAAAACATACAATTCCAGGGATGTTTAAGGGCTTTGCCATCCTTGCCTGCGAGCTTATATGTTCCTAATCCTACGACTTCAACTATTGTATACGGTCTTTTCCATTTTGGACCTAACGAACTAGAACTCATTTCTTTCACTTTGACAATATTTTCTTTGAGACTAAGTTCCTTAGAAGTTTTTCTTGCAAACCTTAGAGTTTAAATATCTTTTCATTCTCTTCTGGTATGCTGAGAGCTTAACTTAAGAATCACCCTAGTTCTCCTCTAAGAGATATAGGTTCGCCTTCATAGCTTCTTCATTTTGTTCCTCTCATTTTCCTGTCGAACTGACACCAATTTCAACTGGTATCATGGCTACCATCCCATAGGCCAGAGAGAAAGGGGTTTCCCCATAGCGGTTTTCATGGTAGTTCCATATGACCATAGGGATTTGTGGTAGTTCATCGGCCCATAATCCCTTCGTCGTACCTAGCTTCCTTTTTGGGATTTTTTAATGTTTTATTGACAACTTCTACTTGTCCTTTAGCCCGGGGATAGTACGGTGTGGAGAAATGACTTCGGATACCCAACTCTTTGCACATTGTTCTCAACTTTTTCCTTTGGAATTGCGTGACATATTTTGAAATTATAGAGTTTGGTACTTCGAATCGACAAATTATGCCTGCTCAAGACCCGTATCTCTTGACGATCCATCCACAAATAATTTCCACGTTTTTTGTTCTGACTTTTCCTTGGAACGGGAACATCTGACAAATCTATAATAAAGTCGGCCAATGCCATACTTTGATTGCGGATCATCCTTTATAGATTATTTCATATTGTCCCAACTCTACTGTCCATTTCTCTAGTCTTCCCAACACATCGGGCTTTTGCAGTATTTGTTTGAGCACGAAATTAGTTAGTACGTCAATGATGTGGCTCTGGAAATAAGGCCACAATTTTCGTGATGCTGTAACAAAGATAAAGGCCAGCTTTTCCATGTCTGAATATCTTGCATCTGTTTCTTGCAGGGCTTTACTTATATATAGTAGAGTGGTAACTACTATTGCCCTTCCTCTTTTACCAGTACTAAGCGGACTACCACCTTAGAAACTATTAAATATAGCAATAGCTTTCCCAAGGCTTAGCTAATAGGGGTGCTCTCTCTAAATGATGTTTTAGAGGCTAGAACATTTGTTCGCATTTGTTGCTCCATTCGAACTTCTTTCCTATTTCGAACACTTGGAAGAAAGGGAAACATTTGCCTATTGCTCTAATACAAACCTACTCGGGGCGACAACCTTCCCTTTAGGCTTTGTACCTCTTTTGGTTTAGATGAGGACTGCAGTTTTATGAGGTCCTGAATTTTGTCGAGGGTTGCTTCAATACCTTGCCGATTGATCATGTAATCGAGAAATTTTTTGGATTTAACTCTAAAGACGCGTTTCAGGGATGAAATTGATCATGTAATCGAGAAACTTTTTTGGATCTAACTCTAAAGGTGCGTTTTAGAGGATTGAATTTCATCCTGTATTTTCGCAATACGTTGAAAGCCTCTTCAAGATGTTTTAAATGGTCTCCAGCCTCGAGGCTTCTCACAAGCATTTATCAATGTATATTTCCATCATTTTTCCTATATGATTCTTTAAGATTTTGTTAACTAGCCTTTAATACGTAATCCCCGCATTTCTTAGCCCAAACGACATTACTTTATAACAGTATAGTCCCGATCCAATACGAATGCAGTATGTTCCTTGTCAGCTCCATGCATGGGATTCGATTATATCCCGAATACGCATCCATGAAGCTTAATAGCTCGTGTTCTGCAGTTGTATCCACCAACTAATCGATTTTAGGAGCAAGAAGCTGTCTTTAGTATAGGTTTCATTCAAATCCGTAAAATATTGACACGTTTGTCATTTTCAATTGCTCTTTAGTACTAGGATCGGATTACTTACCCGTACTGGGTACTGAGGTTTGCGGATAAAATCATTTTTTAACGACTTATCTACCTTGTTCTTTAATGCCTCATACTTTCAACACTTATTGGCCGACGACGCCTTTGCATCCTAGGCTTGACCTTCGGATTGACTTTTAGGGCGTAACAAGCAACTTTGGGATCTATACACACGTCCTTATGTTTCCAAGCGAATACATCTAGGTTCGTGGCTAAGAAATTTTTTAGCTATCTTTTCATAGGTTCGCTTTAACTCCTTGCTAATTTTTAGAGCTTTGCTCGCATCTTCTAAGCTCACGGAAAAGCTTTCTAACTCTTCGACCATAGCCGCATCTAACCTGTAATCAGTTATGCAAGGATCAATAGAGTTATAATTCTCTAGTTTATCTCCGTAGTTACTTGTTTCAACTTTCACAACAATATTTTAGGAGCTCGCATGTATTCGTGCACAGGATTCCTTGATTATACTTTAAGGACATTTCGACCTTATTCAATGAATATGTCACATGTGATTGATGGAGGAAGATGATTATGTTTGCCTGCTTCATTACAAGTCGTCCAAGGATTTCGTTATATGCGGATTTTCCTTGACGATATTGAAATTCACATACCCTTGGTATGCATGGGACGCCTCTCCTATCCTTACGAACAGTGGTATATCTGCAAAGGACCAAGCCTCCTCCGGTAACGAAGCTCCGACACAAGGATCAAAGGGTTGTATTTTTGCATTCAATCAAATGCTTTGTCATATATCACATTTTCCTCACTTTCATTATCTAGAGTATACGGCGGAAACATTCTCCTACTAATATTGCATGGATCACGATCACCTCATCTCCTCACTTTCACTGTCTAGGAGCACTCCAACTAATGTTTGGCTCATCTTCACATATTTCAAGTATTTCTCAGATGGAACATAAAATTGTGGTTTACGTTTTTCAAGTTTCTCATAAACGGCGCCAATTTATTGACGATATAAATCAAGTTAACAGATCATCTCACCTAGCTAGGATTTTCACCTCCTAAACTAATTAATTTTGATTATCAAAGTTTGAGCAAGAGGGAAAATGACTATTTGGGAGGGAAATATTTGAATTGCATCATTTTCCTCTTCAAAAGAGGGAAAATGACTATTTGGAATAATCTGGTCATTTTGGGAGGAATGACAACTGACGGCCTTTTATTAGCTAACTTATAACTAATTCCGTTACGATATCATGTTTTATTCATTAACTTACATGTCATGTATTAATTCTGAATTCACACGCTAAACATTTGCCTCGTGTCCTTTTAACAGTATTTAGCTAGCTTGGATGGGGATAGGTTTGCCTAATTCGCACGAGCTTATGTTGCATAAGGCTTTCACTTTGCCAGGGGTGGACAAGATTTGCGGAGTATACTTGATTCAACAATTACTCTTCATACAAGTCCAATCAACATGAATCTTTTCCTTTCTTTTTCTTTGGTCTACATACTACTGGATCTTTAGTTTAAATAAAAGAAGAAATGATCCTCTTACATGGATTTTGGTTAAAAAAAATAAGGATCTGTTTGTTATACGTACATTAGTATACACAATATTTTAGTTCTTTTTTTTCTCTCTCTTTCTTAATAGTATACAATACTTTCTAGTGCACCTTACCAAACATTTTATAGAGTATTGTTTTATAGTTCCATCTGATTAATAGAAGGTAGGTGGAAGTGCATTATCAACTATGTTACTTATTCCCAACTCCAGAATTTACAAAATAAGAAACTAGGAAAAGGGTATAGACCACAGTCTGCGTTGTTTCTGAATTTTATATTTATTTTCTTTATAATGTTTATCATAGAGTTTAGGTTGATATACAGCAGCCACATCCATAGTGCACAAAGATATGAATAACATTTCAATGACAAGTATTGGGAAACCAACCTGAGAGTAACAACCTATGGCAGCCTTAAAGTCCTTATCACGAAATGCAAGATCCCCACGCTTCCTTGCATCCAACATATCTTTCATCTGCTGAGTCCATTCTTGAAAAGACAACTGAATGAAGACAACGACCTTCAAAAACACAACTCAATGTGAAAGGAATGGAAAACGTCCATATTTTACTTGTTCAATACCTCGTTGGTTCCTTCATCATCTCGATAGTGTGTGGTAACTAAGATTTGATGTATTGCAGTGAGGTCCATCCGAGAACAAGCCTCGCCCATTGGTGAGAGTGGGCGCTGTGGAGTTAGTGGAGCTTCCTCATGCTTTGAAATTCCAAGCATGACATAAGAGGGAACCTAACACCCAGAATCATGCTAATAATTTTGGCACATAAAAGCAAAATGATATTATCTGTATACCATAGTTTTTTAACATGTGATCAGAGGGATGGTCAAAAAGTGGGGCAAAGAAAACATGCTCAAGTGAACCCCTACAAAATTATATTTGCAAGGACATCTGAGAAGTAAAAGGAACTACTAAAGGTAGTGGTTTCAAAATTTCGTTCTGGGTAGAATGCAGTTAGCTTATTTATTTCATAATTCTTCTTGATTGTGTACTTAACAGATCTCCCATATATGATATAACTATCTGATAAGGTTTGAAGAATGAAGCTGAGTTCTTGATGGATAAGATAAGAAATGAGAATCAACGCAAATAAATGGACGCGACACTGACTTATGATATATTACAAAATGACAACTGAGGTGGTTGTTACATACTTTGCGTGGACCTAAAAAGGCTCTTGTTCATAGGAGTGATGATATCAATTTAGATGAGGAACGGGTGGAATAAAACTAACATGGCCTGTTTTAGTGTCTAACAATCTAGTTGCTTTGCAACTTCCACTGGATCTAGCAATGAAGCTAATGTAGCGACACAAATTCACATAGCAATCCAAATTTATTAGGAATAGTAGCTGTTGTTGTAATAATGATCAGCATGAAAAAAATTGTGATAAAATATATAATTAAGGAGAATTATAGTGTAGCCTCATGGAACACCTGATATTACATATATATGAGGGCAGAACCATATAACCTATGACGGAAACCATGTTATGCTGCATTTGCACCACATATTTCGCCCAAAAATAACTTGTTTCGGTTACTTTCGTTAATTCAACTGATTCGGTTCTAACAGGTATGGAACAATGGAATACATCGGTAACAGATTGACCTAAAGCAAAAGCATTTCTACTTTAGACAGGATTATCCAAGTGAAACTAAGCCCTTGTTTGCTTCTTGTTTATAATCTGTTTATAAGCGGTGAAATCACTTTTTAACCACATATTTCGTGTGACCACAAGACTACCCACTTATCAACCACTTATTTCTATCTATTTATATTCAATCCAATTATAAACAACTCCCAGACATGCTTTAAATATTCAAATTGTTAGCTTCATGTGAGTAATAAATTATCTTCATCTGTGTAAGAGGTGCTTAGTCACAGAAACATTAAAATATTATCAAAAATACATATCAAGGTTGCATATATTCGTGTCAGGTAAACTATATGAGATGGAGTTTCAGATCCTTACATCAGATTTCAGCTCTAGTGGAGAAAGAGCGGCAACAAGGTCCTTTGTAATAGGTCTCTCCATGGGTTCATATTGCAAACATTGAGAGGCCAGACCAACAACTATAGTAGCTTCCTCTGTAGAAAACTTTCCCTCCAAATGTGAATCCATTAAAGGAATAACATTCTTGCCACTTATCATATCAAGAGCCTGCATACAGCCAGAGCTGATCAAATTCCCATAGCAACATTATATATAAATATAGTTGCTGAGAAAAGCACAAAGAGTAATTGACTAAATTCTTGAATGTTCCTATAAGAAAACACTTGTGATACTAAGAGCATGTTAAGAAATCCCTTAAGACACCAGACTCTTCTGACTCCTATCATCAAATTTTATCACATATAAGATGTAAATTGTGGGTTATGTCATTTTAGTTATAGAAATGGGAATAAAGGGGCCAATGAACTTGCCTTCATGGTCATACAGATAGTGTGTCTATGAGTTGGGTCAATTGTAACCCTCTTCATATTTCATCCACTGTTCGTGGCAATTTTGATTAATGAGAATGTTCTTTGCTTTCAAAAAATATATATGATCTTCGTCTGAATCAAGCAACTAGAAAGATAAGGAAGAAGCAAAAAGCATGAATTGAAGATGCAAGAGTAGGCACTAGAGTGAGCAATTTCTTTATGTTATGCTTGTTCCTGAAGTAGGAACCAGTCTAGTGAACATATGCATATATGAATCTGGTAAGTCTAAGATAGACCTGATCCAATAGGTATTTAAATCCAATCAAACTGAATGATAAAAGACAGAATAATTTCTTTGTTGTATTATTTAATATTTACATATTGCGATTATTCTCTCTGAATCTTTACCGCTTCTAATCAAGAATACATTCTATTAACAATACAAAATATACAGTGAGATTGCACTCTATGTCTAAATTTAAAGATACTCATTGGATTCATAAACACATTATGACAATTACAAAATAAATCATGTTCATGATCCCGAATTCAAATTAATATCCTTTATAGGTCCATCCCAAAATATTACAAAACTAATTAAATTTTATTTCTTCAGATACCAAATAAACATAACTGAAGGTTAAACATGGTATTTGATAATCAATTAATCATTCGATAACATTCCTATTTTCCGTAAATAATATTATAGGTATCGCATTCTTGTATCAGAATATAATATAATGTGACGTTATAGTTCATGATATAACATTAAACAAGTTTTAGATTATTCTTTCTAAGTTTAATTGTTACAAGCACACAATCAATTGAAACTGCTTTTATTACTTTCTATTAAGCACACAATTATGAATCCAGGTTTTATAGGATTTTCAATACTATATTCCGGAGCAAAAGTCTATATTATTTAGAATTCAAAATTCAATGGTACGAAAAACTTCAGGAATTCAGTAAAATAGCTGGTAATGACCAGCAAATTGGTGAGTGTTGAAATGTAAGTATTCAAAAACTCAGCACCCTGAGCATACTTCTATTCAAAGCACAGAGCTATTTTATTTACCTGCTCTAGAGACATTCTCATAACATAATTCTCAAATAGAGGAAGAAACTAACTATTTCACTTCTCAGTACCACCACCAACTTCAGTGGTTTCAATCATAAACTCATACTTCTGCTAAGAGGAAGTTTTTGGCACAGTAGACTACAGCTTGGTGATCAGTCCAGACATTAAGGCTTAAAAAAACATTCAATACCCAATGCGTGCTTCAAAATTAAGAATCTAGGTAACTCACATGACTTGGAGGGATGTGCTTCCCACTAAGCAGATCCAAAAGGACAGCGCCAAAGCTGTATATAACACTTTCCTTGGTTACTCTTCCTACAACACATGGATTAGGGGAAACGTAGGGAATCAATTTCTGACTATAGAATCAGAACTTTCCTAGCGAGAAAAGCTCCTATGAAGCCATAGATAAATGATAAATTAACACAGAAAAACTAGACACAGAGAGTGAAAAGCAGCAGTTGTTAGACACTGTTAAGATTAAAATAACAATAAAATGGATTGTGAAGTATGAATCAGAATTTAATAACAAAAATGTTTCTCCGTCGAGATCATGTGTGTTGGGGGGTGTTCGGGAAAGGCAATAATTTTTTGATAAACTACTGAAAATATTTAAAAAGTAGTGGTTGCTGATTATAGTTCTAGTAACAAATCAAGACTTGCAACTTATTAAGGATTTGTTTGATTTTGATTATTTGAGAAGCAATTCTTTGAAAAATGTTTTTAGAGAAAGTGTGCATGAAATGAGTGCAGGAGAAAAGTGATTCTCAAAGAATCAACATCAAACAAGAACTAAACACTGTGTGTTGTTATTGTCATGGCACTAACTCACAACACCATGTAGAGTATAATGCTGCCTCAAGGGAGCTGAAAATTTATATCTGCAAGTTAAATTGGAGAACTGATTTTAAATGTGAAAATCATGTTAAATGCCTAACTTGAAGCACCTATATAATTTTAAGCTATGATTTATTCATAGTGCAGCTTTCAGGAAAAGTGGTTCTTGTTAAATAAAATTATAAAAGTTACTTATCAGAAGAACATTCACCGACAAACCAGAAGAACGAGCAAGTTAAACATCAGATTAATGCACATGAACCATGTCAAAGTGCAGTGCGAGAGAGGTAAACAAAGACACAGCATGCACAGAAGACAAAGTAGTTTCCAAAAGTAAACACGTAAAAAACAAATTTTTAAGCAAGAGAAGTGATCACCAATTCTTAAATACTCAGGAGGAGTGTAGGCAAGATTTGTGCTATAACTTTTCCCATCCCGGCTGTTTTTTATCAACCCAAAACATGAAAGTCTTGGATCGCCATCCTACAGAGTCCAATCGAATATCATCACATCTTGTAAGTCTGAAGTAATAAATTCCCACTCCTATAATCTCAAACTATACACACATAAACATTAGGCTCATACTTTACTAGTGATGAAAAGCCTCGAAACAAACGAGAATGATTTAATAATAATACCTCATCAAAGAGAACCCTGTAGGCATTCAGGTCATGGTATAAGGGACGGTCTTCACTGCTACAGTATTCGAGGGCTTGAGCTATATACAGTGCTACTCTCACGCGCATTGCCCACTCGATTGTCTGACTTTCCCCTGATAGTTGAAAAATATGGTATGCATCAATTACTCCCTTCAATCTCCATTACCTTAAACCCACCCCACCCCCCAATCCCCCTACCACACAATTAGGTTAAAATATGGGTTATCATACTACAGGAAATGCCACATTTACTCTTTGCAGAATCTCAAAGCCCCCCCAACCCCGCAAACACGAAAATGACACAAGTCAGGTAACATGAAAGTCAGAAATTAATATTCATTGGGCAATCAGGAAGTTATAATCAGGAGCTTCATTAGCACAAAGTCAAGAAAAATGGATAAGCATAATATTACATACAGTGAAATAGATGTTTGGCAAGGGTGTCATAGGGCATGTACTCTGCAACCAACAACCTCTCATCACCATCGCAACAGTACCCTATCAAATTAGCCAGTCTCCGATGCCTCAACTTCCCAACTTCGCATGCCTCTTTCTGCAACAAATCAATCCATCACAATCAACAAATATTAGACCAACAGGCTTCATAATTTGACGCATATAATAAATGAGTGCTAAACATATATGTAAAAAAGGTTGGTAAAAAGGTTGGTGTTATGTATAATACCACAAACTGTTTAGGGTCCGGCCAGGCTAACTTGGGGAACTTCTTGACGGCGATCCACCAGCGGCTCTGGAGGCGGCCTTTATAAACAATGTTGGGCGCCTTTTCTCCACTTTCTGAGACTATAAAATCAGAGCTGAAGTTATTTGTGGCTGCTTTAAGGTCTGTTAACAACAACTCTGAAAAGGGTGGAATCCCGGTGGCATCGGGTCCAGCTATCAATGGTGGGTTGCTTGGACTGCCCTTTCTGACCTTTTCCTTTTCTGGGTGTGTCTCTGTGGGATGAAATTTCGATGTACAGCACCCCATAACTCTTTCTCCGATGTTCCAGAATCGCACTCAGATCATTTCAGAGAGAGAAGGATACTGGGTAGTGAAAAATTGGGATCTTTGTTTGTCGAGCTCATTCATTCACTATTCTCTCGAAATCTTCCTGTAGTTCTATCTATTGCATACAACAGTGATAAGAGTTTATGACAGTGGTTGTCGGGATAAAAACGTTTGTTGCGCATTAAACCACTGTTTTACACCCATTTCATTCTCTTTCTTATTCCTTTTTTTTTTTTTTCTTTCTTCATTTCAATCACACATTTTATTCATAAAATAATACTACACATAAATTCAAAAATTCTCATTACTTTTTAACCACACATTCTTCCATTAATCACTATTCCAGAATATAGTTTTTCATTAAAATAGGTGTCAAACAGGAGCTAAATTTTTGTACAATTTTGGGGAGACACCTTGGTTTACCCTCCTTAATAGTACTATTTAAGCATGATTTGGTTGATACTCGAAGGAACGGGTATAGGTTGGTGTTAATTCTCTCTGAAGATAGAGGAGAATGTATACTATATAGTGGTTAATGATTGGATGGCTAGAATGTGATTACATTACCGGAAGGGAATATGAGTAAGTAAATTTTATTCAATTATTCCCCATGTAAAGAAATTATTTTCACGGGAGCTCACCAAAATACTCACATGAGTGGACCTACCATGTATTAAAAAAAGATCCATTCGTGTGGCCCACTAATGTGAGTATTCCGTGGACATTGCTTCTGTATATGAAGCATCATTTCATTTTATTTTATGTAATCCTCGTTATTTTTCAAAATGCATTTTTTTTCCTTTTATTTTCAATCATACATTTTTTAATAAAATAATATTACACGTAGATCCAAAAATTTTCCTTATTTTTTAATTATACATTATTAAATCACTATTCCAAAATATATTTTTACAAAAAAATAATAATAATAACAATGGGGCTCAAACATGCTCTATATTTATTTATAAAATGGATGTTGGATTTAGAGGCATATATTCATACTACAATTATGGCTAGCTGACATTTTATTTTTAAAATCGTAATTATCTCCCTAGAAAGAGGATTGAGTCGCCACTTTCCAAAAAACATGATGCAGTATCTTTCATTCAACCATTTGACCCTGCCAGGAGCGAGCCTGCCCTATTGGCAAGTGAAGTTGGTGAGTAGTATGACGGTCAACTATCTTCTGCAGTTCGGAGGATTGGGCTTAGAGCACATGAAACTCATCACGACCTCGTAAGGGCCTTGCTACCTCGTCCATCCAAGTTTAAAAATATTACGCTCTTGTTTGATTTTGATTGTTTGAAAAACGATTTTATAAAGTTCATGTTTGGTTTACATAAAACCAATGTTCTAAAAAGCTCACATAAATGGTTGGATTTTTTTCTTCTTCTCTTTCATCTTCATTGGGCACACTTTATTAATTTTTTTTATTTTTTTTTCCTTTTTTTAAAGTCTTTTATTTGACTTTAACTTATTAATTTTTTATTTTTTAAAAAAAACTTTTCATCGAGTATAATTTCAAGTTTTTAAAAGATTTTATCTGTACAAAAGTTAAAAATGATTTTATCTAAATAGTTAAATAAGATTCAAACTATGGTGATAATGTGATATGTACATTATGTAATTATGATCTTGAGACTCGTTATTTTGTTGCATATTTTAAAAAAAAATGTATTAAGTTCATATAAATCTATTAAGTAGAACTTGTCTAGTTGAAAAATGAAACTACGAAGAATATTTTAATTTTTACATTTCGAAAACTTGAAAATTGTATAATTGACTAATAGTAGGAATTATTAAGCAAATATATTATTCTATAATTTTAGATATTTGGTATGTATTATTTTATTATTAAATGATTTAAAATGGTTAAAAATTTAAAGTAATATTAAAAATAAGAAAACGGTTTTTTTATGCCTAAGCCTCACATAGGTTTGTTTAAGTTTGTAAAACTTGAAATTTCACCTTTACGCCTAACCACGCTTTATGTTTTTTAAAATACTGAATAAAATTGTAGATAAAAATATAAGTCAAAGTCAAAAATAATTTTTAACTACGCATTCATGGAACCCACAACTTTTCAACCATATATTTCATTATTTTTTATCCAATTTTACTAAAAACCTGAATTTTGCGAAACTAAATAGGATAAAATGTGATTTTTTGGGAAAACGTACGATTAAAAAAATAAGAAAATGTTGCAGTTTACATACAAAACTATTTTATTGTAAGAATGTGAAGTTAAAAATAAGATTGAGGAAAACTAATTTTTGAAAATTCTAATTGAAGCAAGAACATAGTGCTCGTTTGATAAATTTTTGCTAACCACACATTTCGTTGACCTCAAAATACAGTGCTAACAGATCTCGACTTATCTTTCCATCTACGTGTATGTTACCTGCACACTTGAACAATACATTAGATTGTACGTGACCATAACTTCAACAAGGTGTACGATGATCGTAGGTATTCCAATGCTAAGTTAGGATTGTGAAGAAAGTATTTGGGAGTGGGAGAAATATAATTGATGAAAATGTGCGTGTCCGGTTGAAGATAACCAATTTTGCATTACCTTTGAAATTTGCTGTTGTTTGAGTATTTATACCAAGAAAGGTGAGATAAGGTCAATTAGATGCTTAACACATGGTCTCATTTTAACAGTCCACCAGTCAAGCTCAACTATATCAATCATTGGCTGTCGTGGCCTGCAGCCATCTGACTAGATAGAGGCTCAAAAATAGCCACCCTAGGTTTGTGGTCATCACAGTATGCAGACTAAAAAGTTAACTAAGAATGAGCTGCTGTATAGCTATCAAATCTGTTAATGTATGGCGTATTTTGGCGGAGGAGAGACACGTGGGAGATACCCATCACGGAAGATGTCAATCGTCCAATCTTTTCAAAGGAAATATGTAAAGGGACTGGACTAAGTAGAGTACGAACCTTGTATAGCCTCTTGCTTTGTTTTTACTTAACTGACTACCATGTGGCCTTCATCGTAAGTCGAAGCATAAAAATAGTCCTCCAAGTCCAAGAGTGAATATTTAATATAAGGCATGGACTTTAATAGTGTAATCATCACATAGTGCAGGAGCTAGTGAATCGAGGAATAATAATAAGAATCTCACTAGACAAGGTATAGCGAGGAATAAGAATAACCATCTTGATGGACGAGGCATCTCACAAAGCAGGTATAAGAATAATCATCTCGCTAGATGAGACATATCGGAAAATGAGAAATAATATCTTTAATGTGGCGCTAGATGACTATGAATAGTTCTCTATGTCTAAGAATGAGTATACAAAGCATGAACTTTAGTTAATAGAAAGGCTAGGTTATCGAGGTGATAACTTTGAGGTGAATAAGTCCCATTTTTCCAGGGATGGGGGCTCTCTTACAGACGTGAAATCCTATTTTGCAAGGATGAGGTTCTCTAGCAAAAGTAAAGTCCCATTTTACATGGGTGAGGCTCTCTTGCAGAGGTAGGTAGACTTAGTGAATTTGAAATTTGAAATCAAGAATCTAAGGTGAAGAAACCTTGCGTGAAGTGTTGTACATCTCTCAAAATACCAAAGTGATGGGATGCATGCTAATCATTAGAAAGGTTGCATGTTTCCAATGCACAAAAGTTGGGGATCACATGGTTCCAAAGCACATGCAAGCGTACGACAATAATAATAATTATGACCTAAAGTTGTTTATGTTCTAAGGCGACGAGTCCCACATGCAAGTGAGACACACTTCTACATCTATGCCTTCCATTTGAATTTCAAACTTATGCTTCTTCCTTCTATGGCTAAGATTCAAAGATTGATGAATGGATAAGATCAATTTATCATTTGATCTAAGGCCCTTGGTCGAGGCATCTTTCCTATAAAAGGAGGCAACCTCTCCTACCGTAACTCTATTAACTTCCAAAACATTCCAAGACTTTCAATATAAAATATTGAGAGAATTTTTAACAAGAGATAAGAAATTATAGTGAACTCGTATATCTAGTCTAGGTTTTATCAAGAAAATCCTTATTAAGGTACTTTCTCAAACTTTGCTCTCTTTCTTCATTGTTTTCTTTTCCTCCTTTAAAAAAGTACCCATTGAAAACAGCACAAAACTTTACTTAAGTATCTGGACAGCAAGCAAACAACAAAATACCGTGGGGTTGGTAGAAAACTAGGTTAGATACACTCATGTCCTCTATGAAGCTAAGTTGGCTGAGGCGATTAGGCCTGGTAAGCATATCCAGCAATATTCGAACGAACCAGTCTAGTGAGCATATCCATCATACCTTGCCCATGTATTCCTATCAGCTACTAAGGTCATATGGCTATGCCCCCACTCAATTACCCCAAATGGGTGGAGTAAAATGGTGGTCTCCTGGTTCCTATAGCGTGAGGTCACCCAAAGTAGGAAAATGTTCTTTCACGTCTTCAAACAATCTGCTAGCCTCGATTAGCCGAGAAGGAATGATACTACCTTACCATTTAAGGCTCTCATACTTCCTTCATAGTTGGCCTTCATAGTTCCATTAAGCACTAGAAGGATGAGTGTTTTGGATTCTAGCCAAGTGGTATTTACTATTGAAGGAGATGCCTTCCCAGCTCTGAATTTCTAAGGAAGTACTAAGACAATAGTAAGTCTACTTGTCGAAGTAGAGGTGTAGGTAGCGAAGATCTTGAATATAATACTCTTCATTTCCTTATATTTGTAGACATTATCTTTCGGTGTAAAATATTCACTTCTAAGTGGGATATCCTCTGTCTAATCTACCAACTTCCCAAAGAATTGAGACACGACTCTGAATTGATTGATAAAAACATACGCTACATCTGAAACTTCCTAATGGCAAACAAAGGATCATCGCCTTATCACTTTTTAAATTTTTATTTAACTAAATAATGTTTCAAGTATTAACATTGTTTCTCTCGCTACAAAATTTATTAAACTTAAATGGCTAGATATTTAAGATTTTAAGAAA